ACTTGAGGCATATGATAGAAACTTTAATTTTGGTGGTGGTGAAATAGTTGAAAGAGAGTACAACATGGAAGTACCAAGTTATGAGAAATATAAAGATACAGTGATCACAAGAATAAGAGGGGAAGCTGTATGTGCTTACTTGGGAAAGATGAATAAAGAAATAGATGCAAATGTAAAATACATTTATGAAAGCAAATTTTTAAAGTATGCAAGGTTGCCTTGTGAGGATGGACTTTTCTTTGTGAAAGCAGAGTGCAAGGCACAGATGAAAAAAGCAGTGTCGTACAAGATTGATGCAAGTTTTGATGTTGATGGGTGTTTGCAAGAATGTCAGTGTGAGTGTGCCGTAGGAATGGGTCCAGTAGCAGCGTGTAAACATGTGTGTGTACTTTTGTTTGCTCTACAGAGGTTTAGTGAGAGTGGTTATTTGATCACAGAAGAAACATGCACTCAAAATTTACAAACGTTCCACCATGTGAAGCCATACAAGGGAAGTCCAATCAAAGCTAAAGACCTCCCTTTAGCAAATGATGCTGATGTCATTTATGACCCAAGGCCAAATGAGTTCAGGAACATGCCTGGTTATCAGGACACCTTTAGAAATGTCTGGTTAAACAACCCATCTGTTAACAAACTGCCTATAACACAATTATTTCCCATTGCAAACACAGTTGGTATTGACTCAGATCACGATTATTTTCAAGATAAACTTTCAGAAATTTGGCTCAAAAACTCAAACATTACACAAATGTCTTGCAAAGAAATAATGAAATTTGAATTTGAAACCCGTGGTCAAAGCACAAATCCTCTATGGCAGTCTGAACGGTGCAAAAGAATTCACTCCTCAAATTTTGGCAGAATATGCAAATGTACAGAAAGAACTGATTTAAATAAGCTGGCTTATCGTTTGACTAAATATGTTCCACAAATCCATGCCCCATCCATACTTCATTGCAAATGCTATGCTATGAGTCTGTGCCCATTAAAAGCTTTGAAGAAAAATTTGATGTTAAAACAAAACAATGTGGTGCGTTTGTGTCAAAGTCGCATCCATTTCTTGCTGCATCACCAGATACATTAATTGATGAAAAATCTCTTGTAGAAGTAAAGTGTCCAGTCACTGCAAAAATTGAACAAATATCTTATGAAACTGTTTCATTTTTGAAGAGTGTTAATGGTTCTTTAGAACTTGACACGTCGCATGATTACTACTATCAAATGCAGGGGCAGCTATACTGACAGAGAAAACCAATTGCATTCTTGTTGTGTACACGTTTAAAGATCTCAAAATCATTTCTGTGCCAAGAGACCAGAAATTCATTGGTAACATGCTTGAAAAATTAGAGTTGTTTTTTGATAAACATTTCAAAAGTGCAGTGTTGAACAAATTTTATTTTCAAATTTGAATGTTTTGATAATAGCACTATAGGAATGTGACATATTTTATTCTTGTTATAAGTACAGTTTTTGTTTGAAATCCTTTACTGCATTCACTGACAACACTCAATTATTCTTCAAAATTCAATTAAATATACATTTTTAAAAAGTATATTATTTTGTTTTCATTCTGATTAGCAGACTATAAAATATTACAAATAGTTTGTAAGCAAAACAGCAAATACATACTTTGTACTCATTATTTGTGTGCATATCAAACAAAATGTGTACTTGTAGGTCATCAAAGCACAACATTTAATATTTTAAATAAATGTCTGTGTTCTAGCAATGCTCATAATATCCTTCAACAAAAGTCTCAAAATATCCTTTAACACTTTATATGTAACAGCAAACGATGACTGCACTTAACGCTGTGTTTTGGGTCCTTTTCAGTTGCTTCTGTAAATCTGCTGCTTTTCAAATCTTATTCTAATCTCACTTTTATGTATTTGATATAAAGATCTGTCAGTTAGACACCCAATTTAAATGTTGAACATAATTTTAGACTGTAACACAATACCTAATCAAATGGTTTTTGTCATTCTAATTTTCAAAATGCAGATAATATTACTTACCTGCCCTTGCTTGATTATTATGTATGAGAGGAGGAGCTGACATCATATGAATGGATCTGAAATTAGACTGGATGAATAACAATATGTATCAAAAAATACGTCGAGATCTATATTTTCGACCTTCCTATTTTTTCTGTAATACACAGTTACATTGTTTACAAAGGTTTAAAACATATGAGCCCATTCATGAAAGTATAGAATATTTTAAATTGTTGACTGACTATTTAACATGTTCGACTGTGGAGTTTAGTATTCACAAAATGCCCTGACTTATATAGTCAGAAAAAAGTGGGTGTCCTTATTAACGTACAGAGATTGAAGAAATTGTGATGACCCCTGCCTTAGCAAACAGATTCGTACATCTTAAATACATGCTTTTATCTATTGTAATTAAGTAAAGTTGTTAATTAGATGTTTTTCATCACTGCAATTTAAAGAAAAATGTATGTTTTGAAAGTTGATTTTGAAATTCTGCATATCCTTAAGTGCAGTCATCCTTTTTAAATACTAGGGCACTTTTCAACAAGCCAAAGTTAGCTCCAGAATTTATCTTTTGTGCAGTCAAGCATGTTTTGGAACAATACACTTTCGAAAATTGCACAAAGTGAAGCACACAAAGATAATTTAACTTGCTAACTTTGTCTCGGTGCTATTCAAAGGGCCCTTCAAGATTTTAAAAGTTTTAGCTAATCCGATAATGAGTTCTCTGTGAACTCTCTTACTCGATATTTTACGATCTAGCAGCACAGTTTTTCCTGACATTCGATTTTTCTTTTTAAAAAATGTTGGGATATTAATGGTTACATCTCTTGAAGCAAGTAAGTCCTGTACGTTAAAACCCTTATCTGACATCAAGGAATCACCAGGCTCGCAAAGATTCAGCAAGGGGCTGCGTTCCACTAGTTGGCGGTCACTGGCAGAACCTCCATAGGCTGGAGAGATGAAAGACACAAGACCGCCAGGTGTCGAGCCAACAAGAACCTTCACTGTATTTCTGTTCTTATAAGTGGAGAAAGTTGATTGTTGGGCAACTGGAGGCTTTGGCTTCTTGACTGCAATCTCAGTACCATCGATAATGAGACGTGTTGTTGGGAACTTTGAGAAAAAATCCCTAGGTGCAAATAAAAACTCACCAAGTCTCTGTCAGGCCAGAAATTTACCTCTCGCCATTGTCTGGACATAAAGTTGATCCATGTCAGCCACACGTTTTCCACGGTTGTTGTTGAGACTGAAAATAACCTACTAAGCTCAAAGTTAGTTTTATGCTGTCTCAATTTTATAAGAATTAGAAATAGCTGGTTTTCGATAGTAAGATTTTGCAATTGATTGTAAATGTAATTAAGATGAAATGCAGCCTCGCCTAAACTATACAGAACATGCAAAAAATCAGTGTATGTTCCAAGTCCTGTGTAAAAACATTATTGGTAATGATACGGTTTGAGAAGAAGTATCAGTATATACTGCAGCTGAGTATTCACACGAGCTGTCTGTACACTTGGAACTTTCTCCATTTGAATCACATGTAATTGTTTCAACAAAATTACCCACATTTGAAATAATATCGGCTTGACACTGATCACTTTCATCCTCACAAATGATTTCTTTAGGGCTACTACAAGTTTTCTCAACTTTCTTTTCACGTAAGATGCGTCTCTGGTTATTTCATCATGTGACTTTAATCTGTTTGGACTTTTCCATGGAAATATTGAAGGCACTGCATGTGGCTTCCTTTGTCTTCTGAGAGGATCAGCACCTAAAAAGTCCATTCATCCACTCAAATATAGGCAGTACACACTTCTAGACATTTAAAGATTTACAGGTATAGATTACAAATGTATGTAGCATCTCTTAGAGTTTAAAAGTCATTATGATACAAGTCAATTTAAAAATTTAAATGCTAGGTCATTTCTTAGACATAGCATGAGAATCAAAATTTGATTATTGTAGTAATAAAATTTCTCTTTATATGTGAATGAAAATGCAAAATATCTTATTCTGTGTGGTATGTCTTTGTCTTCCTTTTTTGGACAGCCATCATTTCTTGATCTGATAAGTTGTTGAAAATGCTGATATCAGGGCCCAGCATTCTGTTTTTCTGTAGTCTGTATTTGTAGTCTCTAGTCTTCAGAGTTCCAGTAATGATAATGCTAATTTTCAATTAAGAGAAAAAGAAATTGGCAATTTCCATGTCATATCCCGATTACTGCCAAATTTCAGTAAATATGGGAGGTTGTTCCCTGAAGTTTAAATTAAACAGAATGTAACATGAAACAAGTTTAAAAGACAAACAACAACAACATTTTGAAATACTGTCATCAAGATTTATATAAAAATCTGTTTTTATCATCTCTGTGTGATCTATACAACGATAACTAACACATAGCTTTAGGTTATTTGTGTTAATAAAGCTTTTTCTGACCATTATCATGATTATGATTTGCATTACGGAAATTCGGGTCGTACAACGACAGTATTGCGTATTCATGAATTAAGAAACAACAACGACGAACAAAAAATTCTTTTAAAAAAACCAGATGTAAATTCAACCCACTGTATTTGGTCTCTGAAATGAAATCCTCGTCCCTAAAGTGTTTGTGACACACTACGCTTCTTGGATGTGGGGCCCATATCAATTATCATACTGGCTGTGTACTTACTTACTTGTCAATCCTCAAGATGTCGAGGTAATGAGACATAAATGTAAAAATTAAGAAAAAATGTACTTTTTTGTTTGTTTGTTAAATGATGTCATTGTGAATACATAGTTTGACCCTTTAGTGGTTTTTTGTTTTACGCAAATTATCACCTCCTAAAGAAAGGATTTACTTGTGAAAATTAATATGAAAGCTTATTCAAATGTTATTGTTAAGGGGTTCGTTTGGTTTCTTACATCTGTTAAGAATAGGCACTTTTTAAAAAATATTTTTTGATGCCTCATAGTTATATAAGTCGTTATTATATAATTTTTGTTATGAATATATAAATGTCAATATTTTGTGATGTTAATAAAATATAACTGTTGCCATAATAAGAACTTGGAATAAAACGTACTATTATTGATCAAGAAAACGTGTGTCATTTAAGGAGTTAATTTTGCAATTTATAATAGAAGAGGTGTTTTCATAAAATCATTTTCGTTACGCTGGTATCGTTTAATTTTCTAATTGCATTGGTACCGTGTAACGAAATTCGGTTACATTAATTGGTGCCATGAATGGTATCTAAGAAAGTGGGTAAAACCAAATCCTGTTACATTGAAAAGTTAACGACGACGACGACAGAAAACGGACAAATTTCGATCAGAAAAGTCTTCGGCTTTTACTTGTCTCCATTTTCTAGAACTCTGTCGAAATTTTCTTCTGTGAAGTTGCAGTGGTAAATGTCGCTGTTTGGGTTTAGAGACCCTGGTTGGTAACTGCAGTTTTTCATCTCATTTTGGCTCACAAAGGGATGGTTTGGATCTAACATCGTAGAAATTAGTCATCCGTATCAAATTATCAGTGTTTTATGACATTTCGGACAAATGAAAATGACTGAATATATTATTGCTCCTTAAAAGTACAAAATATAACCACTGAACAAAGAAATTAACAGAAAATGGCGAAACACTAAATTTTGAATGGGAAATTTTACATGTTTTATCAACACAACATAAATTGTATTATAATTATTATACATATAAATCTTACCTGTTCTATCCACTTTCCTTAAGTCGATTTGTATTTTTCCGGAAACGATTCCAAACTGAAATCGTTTGACATATTTTGGAAGTTCCAGGTCGCCAGGAGCTGTATAGACAGCAGAAAATTCCACGTTAATATAATTGTAATCCTTCTGGTTGACCCACATTGTGTCCACTCGGGTTGAGTTGGGATCAGAGGAATCCGTTACAAAGCGGTATTTTTCCCTCTTCTGTCCAGTTCTTTCAATATCAGCCAGAACGGACGTACACTGGGTAATTAACGGACCCAATCCCAAAGTCACTGTCAATAGAATGTAGGTTACAAATTCTGATTTTAGGCATGAAAAGTTTGTAAAATGGAATTCCTTTCTAATTTTTTAGCTCGGCTTAGATACACATTTTAAATTAAAGAAAAGTAGAATATATTATAGAAAGCAACCAGTGTCGTCATTACTGTATAACACATTTAAACAGCTGTTTAAAACAAAGATCGAATGTACAATATACTCACAGTTCTATATCTATCTATATAATTACAAGAATTTCCTCTTTACATTCCTCCACAAAGGATTGTTATTTATTTAAGAAATGAATTTATTGATACAAAGCATAAAATCGACCGTAAACAAAATATAGCATTTCAAAAAGTACTTTCATTATTTTAAAAGCATCCATGCAAAGAAAGTACAAGAAATTCAAAGCTGAAAAAGTGATCACTCTTATTTCAGACTGCCCTTTACATGCTCTAAGCAAATAAAATTAATAATTTAAAAAAAATAGATAGAAATTTTAGTGTATTTAAACAATAAAATGATTACGCGGGATATGTAAATTTTTTCTGCAATAGCTGCGATCGTTAATTCCAGTAATAACAAACAAAGACATTTTATTGTTTATATTTATATCTGTTTAAATAATCATTTAAAGTAGGATTAATGGAACAGCCACTGATCAAGAAATCTGTACAGGCGACATGCCTAATGTAGTTCATGCAGTGATTAACGCAATGGGTAATCTAAAGAAATAAAGGAGAAAATATTCAGTGGATGTAAATATTTGCTCGTGAAATGGATTCATCGATGTAATAAAGTCAATGATAAAAGATAGGAATTTATTGTCATCAAAATGAAGATGTAGGCATATAGGTTATCAGATGTACTACACGCTGATACCTTGGATCTTTGTCACGTGATAATGCCCTTGGTTTCTGCAGAGTAGACCATGCTGAAAGGCACGGTTCAAAATGTAAAAAAATTATCCTTGTGTCATTCGCAGCTATAGCATATTCAAAGCAATTTTAGTAATTGAAAAATTTTTCAATTTTCATTCACCATGCACTTTTACCACATCATTATTATCCGGAAAGAGGTAACCTAATATTTTACATCAATAGGGGGACCAAAGATCACCTTACATTGTACATCAGTAGGGGGACCAGAGGCCACCTTATATTTAACATCATTAGGGAGACCAGTTGTCACCTTATATTGTACATCATCAGAGGGATCATAGGTCACCTTACATTTTAAATCAATAGGGGTCAAAAGGTAATCTTTTATTGCACATAATAGGGGGACCTGGGGATACCTTATATCGTAAATAATTTAGGGGACCAGAGGTCACCCTATAATGTACATCAGTAGGGGGACTACAGGTAACCTAATATTGTACTGTACATAAGTAGAGAGACCAGAGGACACCTTATATTGTACATCAGTAGGGAGACCAGAGGGCGCCTTATATTGTGCATGGGGGGGGGGGGGGGAGAGGACACCTTATACTATACATCAGTCGGGGGACCAGTGGACACCTTATATTGTACATCATTACGGGGACCAGAGGTCACCCGATATTTTACATTAGTACGGGGACTATTGGTCACCTAATATTTTACTGTACATCAGTAGAGAGACCAGAGGTCACCTTATATTGTACATCAGTAGTAAAACCAGAAGTCATCGTATATTGTACATCAGCAGAAGGACCAGAGGTCACTTTATATTGTACGGGGTCTAGTAGTCACACAATATTGTACTTTACATCTGTAGCGGGACCAGAGGACACCTTATATTTTATATTAGTAGTAGGACCACAGGTCATCTTATATTGTACATCAGCAAAAGGACCTGAGGTCCTCTCTTGTATATCAGTAGGGGGACCAGAGGACACATTATACTATACATCTGTAGGGGGACCAGAGGACACCTTATATTGTACATCAGTGGGGGAAAAGGGGTCACCTTTTATTTTACATCAGTAGGGGGACCAGAGGACACCTTATTTTGTACATCAGTACGGGGACCAGAGGTCACCTGATATTTTACATTAATACGGGGGCTAGTGGACACCTTATATTGTACTGTACATCAGTAGAGGGGCCAGAGGTCACCTTATATTGTACACCAATAAGGGAACCAGAGGACACCTTATATTGTACATCAGTAGGGGGACCAGAGGACACCTTATATTGTACATCAGTAGGAGAAACTGAGTTCACCTTATATTGAATATCAGTAGGGGGAAGCAGAGGTCACTTTATATTGTACATAAGTAGGGTGAACCAGAGGTCACCTTAGATTAAACATCCGAAGGATGACAAGAAGTTACATATGTACATCAGCAGGGGTACGTTAGGTCACCTTTTATTGTACATCAGTAGGAGGAACAGAGGTCACCTTATATTTAACATCAGAAAGATGACCAGACGTCATTTTATATTGTACGGGGAATAGTGGTCACCTAATATTATACTGTACATCTGTAGCGGGACCAGAGGACACCTTATATTTAACACCAGAAAGGGGACTAGAGGTCACCTTATATTGTACATCAGTAAGGGGATGAGAGGTCACTTTATATTGATCATTAGCAGTTGTACCAGGGTTCACCTTATATTGTACATCAGTTCGGATGACCAGAGGACACCTTATATTGTAAATCAGTACGGGGACCAGAGGTCACCTGATATTTTTCATGAGTACGGAGACTAGTAGTCACCTAATATTTTACTGTACATCAGTAGAGGGATCAGAGGTCACCTTATATTGAACATCAATAAGGGGACCAGAGGACACCTAATATTGTACATCAGTAGTAGGACCAGAGGTCATCTTATATTGTTCATCAGCAGATGGACCAGAGGTCAGCTTATATTGTACACTAGTAGGGGGACCAGAGGTCACCTTATATTATACATAAGTAAGGGGACCAGGGGTCACCTTATATTTAACATCAGTAGGATGACCAGAGGTCACCTTATATTGTACATCAATAAGGGGGACCAAGGGTCACCTTATATTGTACATCAGAAGGGGGACCAGAGGTCACCTTATATTGTGCATCGGTAGGGGGACCAGAGGTCACCTTATATCTAACAACAGAAGGGGGACCAGAGGTCACCTTTATCTAACAACAGAAGGGGGACCAGAGGTCACCTTATATTGTACATCAGTAGAGGGACCAGAGGCCACTTTATATTGTATATATCAGCAGAGGGACCAGGGGTCACCTTATATTTAAAATCAGAAGGGGGACCAGAGGTCATCTTATATTGTACAACAGTAGGGGGACCAGAGACCACTTTTTATTGTACATCAAAAGGGGGACCAGAGGTCACCTTATATTTAACACCAGAAAGGGGACTAGAGGTCACCTTATATTGTACATCAATAAGGGGATGAGAGGTCACTTCATATTGATCATCAGCAGGGATACCAGGGGTCACCTTATATTGTACATTGGCAGGGGGACCAGAGGTCACCTTACATTGTACATTAAAAGGGGACCAGAGGACATCTTATATTGTACATCAGTAGGGGGACATGAGGCCATTTTTTATTGAACATCAGTAGGGGGACCAGAGGTCACCTTATATTGCACATCAGTAAGGAGATCAAAGGACACTTTACATTGTACATCAGCAGGGGGACCAGGGGTCACCTTATATTGTGAATCAGTAGGACCAGAGGCCACCTTATATTGTACACCAGTAGGGTGACCAGAGGTCACCTCATATTGTACATCAGTAGGGTACCAGTAAGGGGACCAGAGGTCACCTTATATTATACATCAGTAGGAGGACTAATGGAGTTTTATGAAGAGACTTACTTTTACATTAGACAGCTGACTTTTACATTTTAAGTAATGGAGTACGTCATTGTTTAAATTGTAAAAGTCAGTAGTCGATTGTAAAAGCAAGTCTCTTCATAAAACTCAAGTGGTCACCTCATATTGTACATCAGAAGGGGGACCAGATGTCACCTTGTCACATCAGTAGGGGGACCAAAGGTCACCTCATATTGTACATCAGTAGGGGGACCAGAGGACACCTGATATTGTACATCGGTAGGTCACCTTATACAAGGGTCGTTTAATAATGTCTTCGGTGCTCGGAAAGAAACAAAAGTCGCTTTTCAATAATTAAGTTATAATGATTTAACCTAAAATTATCTTTTCATTAAAACACATGTAAGTAACATTTTTATCCAATTTCTGATTCATTTTCAATTGTTTTTCGAACTCATTTTCTGGTATGAACCTTTGTATACTGGATTATTGCAGATCCTCTGATTTCCTGGACTTGTTTCTTCCTTCTGAAAGGCGTTTTCTCAAGTTTGGCAAATGGAACAAGTCAAAAGGCGAAAGATCTGGCGAATATTGTTAACGTGAATGAACATTAACTTTTGTTTATCCCCAAGACTCCGTTACTCTTCAGGGCTTTCAAGTTTGGACGCTGTCATGGAAAAATCTTATGTTGTGGATTCCTTATTCTCATTAACCTTTTGATTTTTTGCCAAAAAATTGCTTTCTAGATTCCTCCAGAAATTAAACTGCATCCCCGAATACGAATTTGAACAATAAGACCACTAATATTTAAGAAAATTGCCTATAAATCTATCCTTGTGCTCTTGCAATTCTCTGCTCTTCTTAGACCTTTGCTTTTTTTGTCAAGTACATCATATTGTAAATTTGTTTTGAGGGTTTTAAGCAATAGATTCATGTTTCATTATCTGTTTGAAATTCAAATAAACGTGGATAACTACAATTATAGATATTTTTAATAATTGTTCATATATTCTTATATGCAGTCATTTTCACTCATTTTTTTAAAGGGTTACTTTTGAGTAATAAGCTTTTTTTTTCTGACAAACGTTTTTAAAACAGTGTGAACTACTCCCGAAATGATGTGTATTTTGAAAGAGGGCGTATAAGGCGTGTATAATCCCCTGCTCTGAGACAAAATGTTTTTCAATTTTCAAAATCCACAAAAAAGCTATATATTTCTAAAATCATGTTCTCAGTAATGTCATCTTCAAAATATTTTATCATTTTATTTTTCTGAACGACTTATCATTTGATAATATCTATTTCAAAGTTGACAGTTAAGCATATTTAGTGGAAAATGGGTTTAATAGAGCTATAAAAAACGAATTTTGAA